TTTTTCCCCAGTTTAGTTCTGTGGATAAGCAAAGATCCCTCTTGCTAAGGCAAAAATGCATTTTTTTAAAACACCTGGTAATTCCTTAGCTAGTCTGGAAGATCCTGTCAGGTCATGATCTCCAAATGAAGGATCAGTGCTAAGCAAGGAACAGAGAGACAGACAAGAAGATCTAAAGAACCAACTGCAAATGCCAGGCTGTGTTTGTAAGGAGGAGACCTCCATCTCTGTGGTGTGGGTAGCACTGAGGAAGATAGACACAAGTTCTATAGCAGCAAGGATAAAAGTCTAGAGGCAGTAAACCAGAATGGATAGGAGTGACAGACCTAGCCAAAAAGAGATCTCCGATACGAATTTATGGGAAATGCAGTATTTCTTACACTTCTAACTTTCAGCTCAAGCCATGTGGTAACAAAAAGATCTTAGACATCTTCAGTGAACCAGAAAATGACAGAAAGGTTTATTCCAGAAATAAGAAAACACAGTGATTCCAAACACAGCTTGCTATACCGACCCTGCAGCTGATTAAGCAAATTAAGATCGTAGGTCTATGAAAAGGTAAAGACTCTTTGATGGAGGTGTGACCTAAGGAGTTAACTATAGGAAGGTTGGTGGATGGGACCATTGCTGTAGTTCTTGCCACCAGTGCCTCTGGCTTTGTGGAATTTACATGGTGCCACAGCGCATCCTGCTCTGGCTGCACTGCCATTGAAAGCAGGCCTTCGGTCCTCCAGGTAGTACCAAATTTGTGCAGTCTTCCATTTTTAACACAACCTGCACATGCATGCACAAAATGAAGGGAGGCTTAACTTCAGTTTTATACTGTCGGTTACTTAGTTCAGTGACCTCTGGGCTTTTTGGGGGAAAGCTCAGTTAATTCTGTATATACCACACCTACACACTATTTCAGCTCTATTTAGAGAGCATGAGCTTGTTTCTATTTTCTAAACTTGTTAGTCACTGATTCCATGAAGATACAACTCAGCAGTTGGATATTATTGCTGCGTGGACTCTGAACAGACTGGGGTGGGGAGGGCAGCCACTGAGTGCTTCAGTGAAATCCATGGGATACCTTGGCTGTTGGAATCTTTTCTCTTTTTTTTCTTCTCTGCTGTCTTCCATTGTAAAGTAAAGTAATGTCAAGAAGGAAGCCCAGGAAACACTGCTGTGAAAATCCCACCATATCTGTGACTACTTCTTGGAAGTATTTTAACAGTTACTGAGAGCATACTTGTGCTAGAAGAATTGCTTTCCCCCTCTTTGAGAAAGCAAATGGGAATCACAGCACCTGAAAGGGTAGAACATTTAACAGACTTTATGTATTTTTTTTTTTTTTCACAAAATGACAGGTAGCATTTTATTTTTGTTATTCCTTCAAATGTGAAATAGGTTGCAGCTCAAATGCATGTGTCATACTACTATGGCTCTCTGACATATATGTCAACAGATTGACTCTGAGTGCTATGAATTTTTAATCTGAAATTTGGACTTATGATAACAATGTGTTGTTTCTAAGGAGCTCTTGCATGGCCTATCTGGTGTTTCCTGCAGGGTTGAATATAAAAATGGCAAAAAACTTATTCTGCAGTGTCTTACCAAGCAAATCAAAAAGAAAAATATTTCAGGTTTGGAGGGGTTCTGTTGGGATTTCTAAGGAAGTTACTGAAATTTGACTAGTAATCAACAAGCAGTTTCATTTCTGTGAAGGATGGAAAACTGAGCTGGTACGTCTCCATGTTTATGTCCTACACATATAACCCTTGTCTTTGTGGTACACAAATAATGACAAGTATTCAAAACAGAGGGTGAGTGATATATCATCCTTTCCTGCAGCTGGATCATCTCATGAATTTAAAAAAAAAAAAAAATTACTTGTGACAATGCTGTTAAGCATTTTTGCTCTCAGTAGAGGGGCTTTCCACTTCTTGGGAAGAGGGAGTCAACATTCCTGAGCTTTGTTGCTACAATTGTTTCATTTAGGGGGAAAAAAAATTAGTAGTGTCAGCAACTCTGGCAATAGAAAACCCAATACAATTGCATGTGGAAACTAACAGATTTCTTTTTTTCTTTTTTCCTTTTTTTTTTTTTTTTAAACATCTGGAGGGAATTTCTAGATCTTGGTGAAGCCAGACTATTCTCTGGAGCCTCTGGGTCAGTTCTTTCTACATTTCTTCAGCCTGGTAAACACACCAGAATTCATTTTCTGGCTTCTCTGGTGTCAGCTCTTGTTTGTGCTGGGCTGTTCAGATTCTGCTTCAAGTACATGTGGTGGAGGAGGTGCCCTTGGAGTGGAAGATGGGATTCCCCACCCACAGATAACTTCTGGAAGGATGTGCTGATCACTTTGATCAAATGTGCTGTTTCTTCCCAGTCTCATAACCTTAATGAATATATTGAGCATGAGATCCAAAGTCTGTGGTAGATTTCTTGTTTCAGTCACTCATACTTTTACTGGTGTTGCCAGCAAATCAGAAGCCTTGCACTGAGAAAGTCATCTTCATCTGTAAGCAGATTGGCATGTAGATTCTACAGAAACACTTAGGACTCTAGGGGGTAATAAGGCTCCTAATTATAAATAAATAAATAAAGGTCCAAATAAGGTAGTAAGTAGAAAGAAATTCTATTTAATTTAGATGTGAATTAAGTACCTGTAAATCACTTAAAATGTGAGGTCTTACTGAGGAACCACCAATATTAAGAACATGAATGTGACCTTATGAGATAATAAGCTAATCTTCAGAAGTTTCAGAAGAAAAATGTAGCCTTAATTTGTAAGACTATTGTAGGGCGAAACTTAGAATACTGAAATCATTCCAGCATCACATGGCACAGTTCCAGACTGCAACAGACTGGATGATAATCTTGATGTGTGCAGTTCTCAGTGGTTTGAATTAAAAAATAATCCATGAGGATCTTCCAAGTCACTTTTGCGATAAAAATGTTTCTTTTTAAAACTGGGATTTTTAAAAATATATGAAAACTGATTCCCCCTCCCCAAGAAAAAATTCTGTGAGCTATTGTCCTGGTTTCAGCTGGGATAGAGTTAGTTTTCTTCCTAGTAGCTGGCATAGTGCTGTGTTTTGGATTTAGTAGGAGAAGAATGCTGATAACACACTGATGTTGTAGTTGTTGCTAAGTACTGCTTATGCTAGTCAAGGACTTTTCACCTTCCCACGCTCTGCCAGGTGCACAAAAAACTGGGAGGGGGGGCACAGCCAGGACCGTTGATCCCAAACTGACCAAAGGGCTATTCCATACCATATGACATCATGCTCAGTATATAAACTGGGGGGATTTGGCTGGGGAGCAGCGATCGCTGCTCAGGAACTGGCTGGGCATCAGTTGGTGGGTGGTGAGCAATTGCATTGTGCATCACTTGCTTTGTATATTATTATTACTGTTGTTGTTATATTTTTGTTATTACTACTACTATTTTACATTATTTCAATTATTTTCGCAACCCAGGAGCATTTCTCACTCTTACTCCTCTGATTCTCTCCCCCATCCCACTAGGGTGGGGGAGGGAGTGAGTGGCTGCGTTGTGCTTAGTTGGTGGCTGGGGTTAAACCACGACAGCTATTTAGGTAGGTAGTCTTTGGATCTCCATGCTCAAAATATTACTTCACCTAAGAAGCTGCAGCTCTTTGTTCTGTGAGAACATTCCTTCAGGTATCAGCTGAGGTTGTGTTCTGTGTAATTTTGACATGAGCTGGCAGAAAAGAGGAGAAGTAATTCCGGACAAATTTCAAAATTGTTCCCCTCCTGCAGGATACCAAAACTCTTTGGAGAAAACTTACCTTAAGACCTTAAGCAATGTGAGAACATTCATTTCCACATGCTGCTGTTTAGGGGAATTTTGAGGAATTACATGATTAAAACAGTGAATGAAAGCCAGATTTTGAAAAGACATATGCAAATGTTCGTACTGGAAAAAGCTGAACTGACTCTAATTCTGCCCCCTCATATTTTTTCAGCCTTGCAGGAAGTAACTGTACAGAAATACAGAGTTACTGACTGATACCTAGCCTGTGGTGCAGAGAATGTAATACCAGTGCTTGCAAAATGCCTGGATGTTTTTCCCAAAAGGAGGTATCTTAAGTGAAGCCATAAGAAAGTTTAAAACAATGTTCATAGGCAAATTACCAAAAACAAAGCCAGAGAAAACATACCACGTTAAATCCTTCTGATTTTATTGATGGTTCACAGAGCTTGAGATGGGTCATCTTGAGAAGCAAGTACCCTTGCTAAATAAACATAGTCTGACAACTGATTTTTGGCCAAGTGAGGATCCCTGCCCTAAGAATGCTCAGCTGTGCGTAACCTTGTACTCTTACAAGACAACAGACTTGCGGTGATTATGGAACATCACTAAACAGTCCACTTGTCCTGAAAGGTGTGTTTCTTTTCAAAGCGTGCAACAGCTAACTGCAGACTGTTGTGGGTTTTTAATACTGAATTCTGGAGCAAAGAGGCCATGTAGAATCAGCATGTTACAGGGTATTGTTGCCTGGTCTCCTATATGCAGGCAGATTCATGATGCTACCGATTCCCAAGTGGGAGATTAGATTCTGAAACCCATCACTGGCTGACTTCTTTCTCCAGGGAATGTGGGGAATTTTTATACTGAGAAGACATAAGGCATCTGCATGGCATGTTGGAGTAGTGAGGCGAATGCATTCTTCTCTCAAAGAAGGTGACATTGCCCAGTGTTATTGTATAAAAAAGAAGCATCACCATGAAGCGTTTCTGGATGTTTCATCTAGATTTATTGTATTCAGAAAAGCTCAGTGATGCCAATGCAAATAATGACAGAAGTGAAACGCTGTATCTGATTATGCCTCTTGTATACTAAATTAGAACAATTATGAGATTAAAAGTGATCTGCCGAAGTACCCTCTCTCACAAGATCTCCCATGTCTTCGAGCTTCTCTGTGATGGCAAAGCATCTGTGGGAAGGGGAGGAATTCCACAGTGCAGAGAGGTTCAGAGCAGGTGGGTTGTTAGCCCACACGAGAATAGACAAAGCACTCCTTTGAGGGATCACTCTTCTGCACCACATCATAGTTGCAGCTTTTCTTGTTGAAAACAACTTTACAGTTCTCTTTGTCGTAACCAGTAGGAGTATGGAAGCTGTCATTGGCAAAGAGAATGCAAATGTTAGACTGAGAGCAATAAAAGATTCAATACTTCAGTGGTTCAGTGATTATAGCTTGAACTAGTGCTGAGTGAGATGCCTCTGAAGCTATGGCTAAGACCAGCCTAGCTAGCTTGAGTGCCACACAGCTACAGCCTCCAGGGCCTCTAATGATGTCTTGCTGCACTGCACTTGTGTAGATGCACAAATATGCTCAGCACTAGCATAGGGATTTCTAGCACAGCACTCTACAGTGTGACATAAACATGGGCTCGGCACGTTTTATCTCTTTTCCATTGATTTTTCAGTATTGCTAGTTTGCTTAGAATGTAGTAGATGTTTCCTGACAGATAGTGTCACCTGAGCAAAGGCGATGATTGTAATCAAGCTGTTTTGGCCCTTTGAGAAGGTTGGATAAGAAAGGAGGATGTTGGAGATAGATACTTCAGAGCAGAGCCTTGTCACTCTGGGGTCAGCATGTTCACTGGAGAAAAGCATCTCCAGAAATGGATTCAGGTCATCATAAGCCCTTTAGATGAGCTTCACTTAAGTCCCTTGTGGAATTAATTCCTTCCTACCCCCACTTTCCCTGCAAAGGAAAGACTTAACTGCAGTGTAAGAGGGGTTCACAGGTTGCTCAAAATTAAAGGCAAGTGCCAACTGGATGTGTCTGGAAGGGTCTGTGTCCACTCCCAGTCAGCAGAAAGTGAGCTAAGACAAACACAGCCAAGGATCCAAATGATCAAGAGCTATGTGTGGCTTGCCCTAGCTTTGTGACAAGGGTGAGGAAAGAATCTCTTGTGCCCTTAGAAACTCATTTATTCACAGCAAATGGAAAGCTGTGGCCTTCCTATAGGCAATGATACTACCAAGAAGTTCAAACTTACAGGGAGCAGCAACGCATTGCATCTTGGCTGCAGCTGCATCTGAAGCAATTATCTGTCCTTGCAATCTCTCCAAAAGGGTATAGTTTTCCATCCAGGACACAGCCTGCATAAGACAGCAGCAAAAGAAAACACGTTCTTTAAGCCTTCACATAAAGGCTGAAAAGTTTAAAGGTGATTGCAAGTTTTCTGGAAATGTTTTCTTGGCAATAGTAAAGAAGAAGTAATTTTGTTCTCCAGGTTATTACCTAGACTATTTTGAGAGCCTGAATTTGTTTCTTATTCACTTGTTAGAGACAGTTTCAGTGTGACAGATATGGGGTGAAAGTGAGCAACCAAACAGCCAGGTCTGCCACCTGGCACCACACTTTATTCAGAACTGCCCTCAACTCCAGCATCAGCTCCATGTACTGGAATGGCAATAGCGACCCACCACCAATAGCAGTAATATTGCTGCAGCCATACCCGGTCCAGGGGAAGGCTTTTTTTTTCCCTACTTTTGGAAACTTGGTGCTGGAACCTCCTGTTTGTGTCTTTCTGGCATCTCCTCCACACCCCCACCCCCCCCTCCCCCTTGTATTTTGAGCCCTTCCTGGCAACCAAAAAGGCCGAGCCTGCCACAGAACAATCAAGTGAGAGGACCTTCCCTCTTCTTACCTTTGGTGGCCTCCCCTGGCTTGTTCATTTTAGAAAAGCAGTATGCATCACCCAGTGTCACTATGATGCCCATTGCAACAAGGAAAGCCAGAAAGCTCTTCTGTAAAAGAGATGCAGAGCCCATGGCATGAATTTAATTCCACTCTGATTATCTTTGTTGTCAAAAGCTAAATCACTGAACCTGAAGCAAAAATTAGAAATAACCTTCTGTGTACATGGAAACATTGGAAAAGGGCATTCTAGATACTTCACTGCATTGATGACTTTTTCCTATAGGTGAGAAGAGATGAAATGATATGACATAAATGTGTCAACAGCATCACTCCCTGCTGAAGTCCAATCTCTAGAAATCACAAAAATCTTCAATAGTATTATACACTTGAAAACCCTGTCAGACTCTTATTAGTGCTTTATTTATTGCCTTTGAGTCAGATTTAGCTATTTCTCCAGCAAATCACTGTCTGTAAACTCTTAAACTGTGCTATTTTGTGGTGCCTGGCCAAAGGAAAATTGTCTCAGCAACTCTCGTTCCATGAAGTTGTAAGATGTAACATTGCAGCTGGTCTCTGCTGAGGCTCCATGTGCATTTGGCGTAGATCTGTGGGGCTATCTGTGCTGTGCAGCTCTCCAAGGGCTTTATGAGCTCAGGGAATCATGGCTTTCCACAGAGGATCTCAACATGCTTGGGATACTGCTTGCTGTATATTAGTCATCCATCTCATCTTGAGTTTGGTGGTGGCTTTCCTCCAAACTGGTTCAGGTGCTTGCAACAGCACAGGCCAGTTCTACCAGAGGTCTTGCTGCTGTAACCCATGTCTTTACAGGAAAGACTAAAATCCTTCTTTTGCTGTGCTGGGCTGCCTTCTGTGAATGTTTTATCCTTTGTTTGCTACCTTATCTCGCTATTCCTAGAAATGCCAGTCAGATGAATTTGGGCATGCTCCTCTCTCTAAAGACCAAAGTTTTCGACCTTCACTGAATCTAAACAGAAGGGGAAGTCTGTGGTGTCCAATTGCTGTCTGAACTGGCCTTACGCTGTAACAACCAAAGGATACGTCAGCTAAGCAACAGACAGTTAGCAGTAAAGAGCCCACATGTAAGTAGGCTGAGCATAGAGGGTATCAAACGGGTAAGAAAGCACTGGCAGAAATAGTATCCTTTACTAGAAATGGCAGAGATTATTATAGTTACACTGATGCGAAGGGCTCTTAGTTAAACATCAGAGTTGTGTCGTTCTCGGCGGTCTGTGAGCAAGGCACTTGAAGGAATCTTCCCCCCCCCCCGCCCCTTGTTCTGTCTCTTAAAAAGGGGGTGCCACCAGCCATCTTGCAGAACAGAATCTTCCAAACCAGATTTAATGGCCTTGAAAGTGGGTGAATTAGTGTGGAATGAGATACCAGATCATTTTGTTCAACTAAGTCTTGTCTGAGTATAGCAAGCCCTCAGGAAAGCTTAGTCAGAGAAAGAGGTAGATGATAATTTCTCCCTTTCTTTATGAATCTACATATATTACAGAAACTACTGCCTCTTCTGTAAAACTTATGCCATTCCCGAGATTCTCATCAAAGCTAGTAATTGATGTCTGTATCTTTGGGGATTACATGAACATATCTTAGAGGAAAACTAGGCCATAGGTCTTTGTCTATCTATTTAGCATTACCTAACTGTTGATTCAGATTCTGCAAACACATTTGGAGGCTAGAAGAGCTGAAACAGGACACAACTTGATAGATCAAAAGAGAAATGCAGACAAAATACACTGTGTATTACACTTTTAATTGTAAAGGGACTATATTTTAAACTGTATTTCACATCTGTAGGTTTTGAAGGCACGTTTACAAAATTCTGAATATTTTCACAAATATTTCTGAAAAAAGGATAACAGCAAGTGAAAGACTGGGAGATATATGTGTACAGTTTCTTGCAAAGAGTTACAAAACAAAGAACAAAATTCACTATAATCTTCACAAAGGTGTCTTACTTTCTTTGCATCTTGTAGGTTTTTTTAATAAAATATATCCACATTTAAAAACATCTAACTAGGTGATTCTTTTAGATATCCTTCTTTTGTAGTTTTAAAGCAAATAGCTATTTGTATCCTCATTTACAACAACAACAAAAAAAAAAAACCCAAAACCCCCAACAAACAAAAAAACCCAAAACCTTTGACTTACCATTGTGGAACACTTGGATTCCAAAGAGCTCCAAATCTCCAGAAGAACTCTGCAAGTGCTTTTTGTGGAATCTGAGAGCAAATATTTTATGGTGCCTTTATGTTGAGCAATTCAAGTCTAGGAAAAAAGCTTACTCAACTCAAATGCAGTTATGTTGAAATTTCTGAAGAAATCACTGAAATTTCACCAGCTGGCAATGAGAAAATGCTTGATTCTGTAGAGCACTGACCTGGGCAAAAGGTTGAACCCAGAACTTTGTATTCCTTTGAAGCATTATGATTAGAAGAAATGCCTTTCTGATGAAATACGAGTATTGATAGCTAAGCTGTATCATAGGCAGTATCATACGGTTAGGTGATTTTTAGCTGTGGCACGAATGCATGCTGACCATTTCTGCTATCAGTGGGCTGGAATATACATAGAGTAGGGAACTAAGTATTTTATAGCTTAGGGAGCTTTTCCCAGGTCTTTGCATGCTCATCTTTAATGCTGCGGTGTGCACTGTAAGATAACCGAAGATACTTGGCCATCACCAGTATTAAAACCTCTTAACATTCAGATCTTAGTCAAAGCTGGATCACATTACAACATTTCTCTTTCTCCAACTAAAATAAGAATTTCCTCCCAAATCAAAAGCCTGCTGTTGCTCTTGTGGGGACTGTTCAGGCTTTGACCTGAATAACTGTGATAAGAGTATATAATCACTTTTATATGTGCAAAATACTTCCACAAGCAGTGATAAATTTCAGCGTGCTAATCAAATACTCTGCTTTCTCTTGTTTCTGCAACCTCTTTTTAGAATGAAATAAGGGACTGTGGCCCTACCTATGTTTCAAAAAGAAATACTTTTTTACAGATGCTGGCAAGCAATTTGACTCAATCCTGTGGGAGATTTAGCGCCAGCTACAGGAAATTTGGCATATGATTTTAAGATTACATTTAGAAACTTTGGACAAATACATCAAATAAAATTTGGCTGTACTACAAGCTAAATCATTTTGGGCTTTTTTTTTTGTTGTTGTTCTTTTTTTTAGAGTAAATTAAACAGAGTTGTAAATACTTTGGAATAGTGGCAAGAAAAGTTGTCACTCGTTTCTTCCTATGGACTATGTATTTCTGAGTACTAATAATAATTAATTGGTGTTTTGGATGTATTCAATCCAAATAATTCAGCAAGAGGGGGAAAAAAAATTAAGTACATTGCACAACATGACTCCATGACCACCTTGGAGGAAGTGCTGATATTATGTTGAAGTCTGTGCAGGTTTGATAATCCTTTAGTAAGAAATACATAATTCATGGAAAGTTACTAAGCATTCAGTTTTACATACTATACACCTGATTTGTTGTTGTTGTTGTTCTGGTATAATCACTCCATGTTTTAAAACTTTCTTTTCATGAAAATCACATTTATGTCATTGAGAAAATTCAGTACATTTCCTTTCTCAACCTTTTCTAATAGCATACTTGATAGTAGTATTTTATCATCAAAATCTTCCTCTTGTCTGTGCTTACAGAGTGTCAAGTCAGTTTATAACTTCTCTCAGGGGGGGAGTACAGGGTTTTTGGTCTTCAGTTGTGTAGCACAGATTTTCTTTCATTCCCGTAACCCATTTCTGAACAGTCTCCAATCTGATAGTATCTCATTTTAAATCTGAGTATAGAATAAGGTATAAAAGCTTGTAAGTGTTGTGGAAATGACCCCGGATACTATGAAGGACATAATGCCTTTTCTGTAGATACATCCAGGGATCACATCTGCTGTCTTAAGCACCATATTTCTAGACACAAAACATTTGCTTTCTATCCCTAAATTCTTCTCAGGGATGCTGTTGTTAATACAGATTTTATGTTTTACAGAGTTTTAAAAAATTCCTATTCCTATAGAAATTAACAAAAAAAAAAAATCAGTAAATCATGGATTAAGTAAGCACAGTTTATTTCACCATCAAGATAACCTGACTTAGTCATTATTTGTCACATTAAGCATTGTTTGCAAACTCTGTCAGCAATGATTTTATATTTTCTCCCAGATTACTTGATATAAGGGTTTTATACAAGTGTAGAGAAACTACAGATGATATGCACCAACCTATGGCTTGCACCAGTTTTACAGCATTCCCTTCCCTTTACCTACCATGTCCATGCTTTGCTGTCCCCAGGTCACCCTGGGCTTGACAGGAGAATTTTATGCCAGTCCTTTTGTGGTTTTTGATAGACAGCTCAAAGCAAGACTGTTTTTGCTTTCAAAGCGTTTGTTAGGCAGAATGCCTTATTCTTCTGCTAATGAGTTCTTGATAAAGATGCCGGAGCCCTGCCAGCTGCGCTGCTGATTGTCTGCTGGTAGGCTGATACTCCTCTGAGTGCCTTTGAACCTCCTGCCTCAGGATATGCAGCTGTTGCTTTAAAAGAATTTAGTCTCTTCCTGAAGTCTTAGCTCTGGCTACATCTCCAGTGAGTTCCTTTATTAATACACTTTTTTCAAGAATGATTGTTTCCATAGCACTATGCTAATTCGCTTTTCACCAGTTGTCATATAGCATGAAGAGAGACAAAACTGCCTGACAAGCCCTCCCATGAAAAGTGTATCATCCTTGTGATCAGCCCAGCCATTTCCAATAATTTTCAATATTCCTATGAAGTTGATAGCTGGGTTATGAAAACACACAGAGTTGAAGGTCTGCCTTTTCTAAATGCAAGACTACTAAAAAGCAGGAAACATTTTTAAAGCTTTGTTGGTAGGACAGCTGCTAAGGATTTCACACTTAAACCTTTCCTAGTTGAGTGCTGCTAAACGTGGCTGGTCTCTTTCAGCTTCTCAGGAAGCATTTTCTCTGCAGTGTTGGCACCTGGAGAAATCTCTGAAAAGGTTATCCTGTCCAGCTAATATGGTATTATT